CAATTCTAAACCTTGGGGCCTGATTTTTTATTTTGGGATAGATAAAACTTGAGTTGTGAATTTTTCCCAAAAATTTAGTCCCTATTTGGGCCCATCTTAACATTTATTTATTTTCAGTTAATTTTCAGTCACATAATTTATGTGTTTTATAATTTTTATCAGTTTTTCTACCACATTTTATTAATTTTTATTAAAATCTATTAAAAATTGGATTTTTATCAAACCAAACAAGAGCTAGTTTCATTTCATTTGTAAATATAACTTTACCACTTTCCTTTACTATAAGTGTTTGATTGATTTTATTTTTCATGGAAAATGTCATTTTTTTCATCAAAAATCATATTTTTAGGATGTTTGATTGATAGTTTATTTCATAGAAAATATTTTTCAAGTTTTGCTTACGTGACCATATTTTCCTCAAAAATAAGGAAAATATTTGTTTAGAGAGGGATGGTTTTATTTTTCAGGTAATTCATGCACACTCTATCATTTACTTATCAATAAAAAATGAACAAATATAGTATTTTTTAGGTTGAAAACTAAATCAATCAAACTCGTTTAATTAATAAGTTTCATACAAATAAGTTCTAAGCTATTAAATTGTTTAGAATTTATTTTCCTTTCATGTAAATTTCATGCTCAAAATCAAACTTTATTTTGGCTTTTTTAAAACAAAACGTTGGAACTTGTAAATTTTATTAAAGACCTCAAACAACTACTTTAGATTATCTCATACTAATTAGATAAATAATTTATCTAAAAGTTTAAGAAAGAATTTTATATTTTATATTTCTCTGTAGACTAACATACATATAGTAATTACATTGGTACTCCACAGTTTCTACCCCTTTTCACCTTCCAATCCCACCGGCATGAATCCAGCAAGCATCACTATTCGGCCTTTCCAGCTAACAGATGCCGACGACGTACTTTTATGGGCCGGCGATAACCGGATTATCCGGTTATTCCGGTGGAATACTCTGGCCTCTAGAGAAGAGGCCTTAACATTCATCAAAGTCTGCATGTCTCACCCTTGGTTCAAATCAATATGTATCGACGACCGGTCTATCGGATTCAT